CGTCAGGTGAAGTTCATGTAAAAATACTAGATGGCTATATGCACAAGCCATTATTAATTTAGAAGTATTAGAACAGAGGGACCTGGTCTATAAGCACCAATACTCCCCCCCCCCTACACACACCAAGCCTGAGCTTTTTCTTTTGAAAAAAAGGTGTAAGTAAAGGTACTGTTTGAGGCAGACTTTCCAATGTCAGTAGAGTCAGTTCCAAAATAACTTTTCTCTAGGCTTCATGAAGGCTATACTCTAATAACAGCATACTTATACATAACACAGTCCTGCAATGGTTTTATTGTCTTGAAATTTTTACATGTTCTACGGTAATTCCTGTATTCGGAATATGAAAATGATATCCATTTTTTACAAAACGTCAAATGTACTTTTACATAAGTGAATAATTTTTCATTGCTATCGGGTCACATTTTGTTGTGCTTAAAATGTTGACAACCACTGGCTATATATTTCTCTAGACCAATTGTGACATAAGTCTTAACGATCATTCTAGAACCCACAAGAAACACCGCTAATATATAAACAGTTAAAAGGCCTTTGACGTGTCATTTCTGGATGGTATTTATCTCTGTGTGCACTTTGACATTATTTTTTATTTTCAATATTATTTATTCATTGCTATGGAAACAAAAGGTTGTGCAAATGACCCAAACATATTTTGTTATATTTGTGGGAAATGTGTTTTAAAGAAACAAAGGCAAAACATTACAGAATTCATTAAAAAAGCATATTACTCATTTTGGAATAAAACTTGGGGACCAAAACCAAACATGGGCTCTACACAAAGGTTGCACCATTTGTATCGAAGAGTTGAGACAACAGACTAAAAGGAAGAAACAAGTCTTTGCCTTTTGAATTGCAATGGTCTGGTGTAAACCTAGAAACTATGAAGATGACTGCTATTTTTACTCATGTAAAGTGCAACGAAATAAATAGGAAATTTCTTATCCAAACCTTCATTCTGCTCATGGACCTGATGTACCTGTACCTACTCCACTGGAGACTCTTGATACAGTTTCAGCTGATTCTGAATCTGATGTCAATAAAAATTATGATAGGGATTGTTTTCAAACTGATACGTATAGTGAACCACAACTTTTCACACAAGGTGAACTTAATCATTTGGTGAGTAATTTGGATTACTTCCAAAGGATTGTTCAGAGATTTTGAGGTCCAGACTTCGGGCTAATAACTTACTTTCTCCAGGGACATCATTTTACTGGTACAGAAATCGTGAGAAAGAGTTTATACCATACTTTTCGCAAGAAAGTTAACTGGTTTATTGCAACAATATTGCTGAATTAATACCAATGCTAGGAGTTGCAGTCTATGAACAAAGTGAGTGATGATTGTTCATTGATTCCTCCAAAAGAAGTCTAAAAGGTGTTCTCCTTCACAATGGAAACATATATGCATCTGTTCCTATTGCTCATTCGGTTCACTTGAAGGAAACGCATGAAAATCTCAAACTTCTTCTTAATAAGGTTAAATACAAAGAATATGGTTGGCTACTTTGTGGAGACTTGAAAGTATTTTGTATGTTGTTGGGTCCACAATCCGGTTATACACAGTTTCCATGTTTTTTGTGTGAATAGGACAGCAGAACACGAAATCAGCACTGGACAAAGAAGCAATGGCCACACAGAGTCAGCCTGATACCAGGATCGAAAAACATTGAACCTGAATTTTTAGTTGACACAAAGAAAGTCCTATTACCTCTATTTCATATAAAACTGGGCTTGATGAAGGAGTTTGTAAAGGACTTAGATAAAGATTGTGTCCGTTTCAAGTATCTATATGGGCAATTCCCAGCTCTTTCAGAAGCAAAACTTAAAGAAAGGATTTTTTTGGGGCCTCAGATTAGGAAATTGACTTAGGATGAACAGTTCGAAAGTACAATGAAGAAAGTTGAAAAAGAAGCCTTAAAAGATGTTATTGACAAATTTTTAGGAAACAACAAGGACACAAATTATGAAAATATTGTCAATAACATGCTCGATACATTCAAAGAGTTGGATTATGATACCAGCTTGAAAGTTCATCCCTTCACTCATATATCGACTATTTCCCTGAAAAATCAATGAAGAACAAGGAGAAAGGTTTCATTAAGATATCAGGGAAGGGGGAACATCAGCATGATGGCTGATTACTGTTGGTCATTAAAACGAGATGCTCCAGAGGCAATACATAAAAGACCATAATACATAGTTTTGAGACTAAAACATAGATTTCACACAAAAAATGTATTCATTTGACATCAACGTTCTTCCCTTTTTTTCAGTTTGTTTGTATTTTTGCTAACAAATATAATAATAAAAAAATGTTCATTGTTGTAAACAAAATAATAATTTGATCTAAGTAAGTGTTTTTTCTTTCTGATTTGTTAAAAATCCTTACATGATATAAAAAATGAATATTATTTTTGAATCCTGCATAGCTGAATTATGGAAGATCCGTTATTAAAACCAAAACAACTTTTATGAAGCTTAAATTAGCTTGCCTGTGTAATCAATTGTGGAGTACATTTATACAATATTATTCTATACAGTATAAACTACAATGTAGAAGCAACTTGATATGGCATATTTTTTGCAACTTTATAAAATAAATAACATAACACTAATATTTGCAAGTATTACTTTACTAATCTTGTTATTGTTGATTGAAAATCAATTAGTACATACACATTTTAAATTTATAACATGGTTAAAAGGCTGGATGGATAAAGAATACTGCTTTATAAGTATTTACCCTGTTCTATGAGAGTTGCAGACATGCCAGCGCCTGTCACAACCTCTACCATGGAAATATGAAGTGTGATGTTACAAACATAACACATAAATGATGTGGAAAAATACATTTCCAGCTAATTCAACACTAATACCGTATATGTTGGCGTATAAGGTGACCTTTTAACCGTAAAAAATCCACCCAAAAATTGGGGGTCGTCTTACACTTCGGGTACAAAACGTGAACCTTAAATCCTGTTGTGTACAGTAAGTTATTAGCATGGGATTTTGGTTGACGGTAGGCTAACCTTTGCCTTGGTAATTACTGACACAAATATTTTCTACTGAAACAACATAATTCACATTATTATAATAAAATAATAAAAGTGTAGTGTAATAAAAGTACTCTTACCTTATATAATATGTGGCATGATTATACGACAACAATAAAAACGTATATTCGTCAAGATAAAAATTCATAACTGTCGTCACATTTCCATTTGCAAAAGCTGAGCAAATGTACTGTAAACAACTGCTAGCCATGGAGGCGTTCCATTCACACAGCGTCGCCAGAGCGCATTTGGGATATGACACGTTCAGTTTAATGACGGCTACATGGGGAGGTGCAAGCTCTCACTTTGTTACTAGCATTCTCCAGGGTAACATTACTAGAATCCAGCTATAACAAGATCCCATCATGGCCCCACCAACTAAAAGAAGGAAATATGAAGCAAGTTTCAAGTTAAAAGCAGTAAACTTTGCCAAGGAACATAATAACTGTGCTGCTGCAAGACATTATGGTGCAACAGAAAAGATGATTCGAGACTGAAGAGCAAATGAAGATGCATTAATGAGCAGGCCAAGGACTAAATGTGCATTAAGAAGAAGTACTGCACGTTGGTCAGTACTTGAAAATCATGTAGCAGACATGGTGCGTGACCATCATCAAAATGGTTATGTAGCGACACGAAATAATATATGTATTTTTGCACTACAGTGGGCTAAATCTAACCCAAATTCCAGCCAAAATTGCACAAAAATTACTGGCAGATCTTGACAGCAAAGTAAGTAACTTCCATCGATATGTAATACAGCAATGCAAGGAGCATGACTATATCTGAAGTAACATAGGGAATATGGATGAAACTCCTATGAATTTTGATATAGTTGGAAATAAAACTGTGTTAATTAAAAAAACAGGACATGAGAAGTCAAGGTTTACAGTGGTACTAGCATGTACGGTAGATGGTGCCAAACTAAAACCAACAATCATTTTTAAAAGAAAAACAATGCCAAAAATCAAGTTTCCTGTTGGAATTTTTGTACATGTCAACGAAAAAGGCTGGATGGATGAAGACGGGATTAAGCTATGGCTTGATCATATATGGAGTAGGCAACCATGTGGACATCGTAAACAACGTAGCCTGTTTGTGTGGGATATGTTCAGGCTTCATTTAACTACCAACACAAAACGACTGGCAAGAATAAACACAGATGCGGCAGTTATTCCTCGAGGATTGACATCATTGGTACAACCAATGGATGTGTGTCTCAACAAGCCATTTAAAGATTGCATTTGAGAACAGTCGAACGAATGGATGGTTAGTGGCAAAAAAGTCATTCACAAAAGGTGGCAATATGTGTCCTCCACAGTTGGTTGTCTTGTGTAACTTCATCATAAAAGCCTGGAATGATATAGATGTAGAAACAGTAATCAAGTCTTTCAAGGAATGTGGCATTTCAAATTCATTGGATGGTATGGAGGACATCTACTTGTGGTAAGAAGAAGAGGAAGTAGAAGTTGAAGCCATGCAAATGTCAATAAAATATTAACCTTTAAATATTTTTTAAACATGTTGTTACGACAGCAGAAGTCATGCAATGCTGGGAGCATGCTCGCTGTAGTTTCTTGAAGGATCATGAATTATCGAGGAACCCCGCGAATGTCCGAGTATTTGCCAGGCGCCCACTTTTTTAGTATATAAGCAAAGCAAATAAAACCAGCAATAGAGAGATATGCAGATAGAATGAAGAGATAGATAATGGAGTCAAGCAAACAGTAGGCACCATAAGTAAAGTGTAGGAATCACTGTGATTTATAGCATGTGTTATAAATGTTGTTAAGTTTAAAGTGACTGTTGAAATTCTGTGTACTAAAACGTTGTATCAATAAAGAATAAACTAGGAATAATTAAGAAAGGACATGTATCACTTAACTTCCTCAGAAAGAATTTATACCGGAAATTAACAAACGAGCAGATACATAACAATATTATGTGTAAAGTCATTATAAAATGTATTGTATTGAATTTATTAAATATATTCAGTAAGCATATACTTTCTTTTCACTCAAATTATAAAGAAACAACAAATGCACTGTTTTAAATGATTTAAATTTATACTGGAACGAAGATTGGTGTACACAATACGAACACAGTCATCAGCTACTGAAAACACAGCACCCACTCGTGAGGTATTGCAGCATATATGGTAAATGAGTTTTGCAATTATAAGTTAGAAACACAAAATTGCAAACTAGTAAGTTTACACTTTATTTAAAACTTAAATAGCCAGAGCTAGCAGTGGGTATTCCCAGACAGGAGCCTTCACTATAGTCAGCAAGTCAAGACAGATAGCCCTAGTAGCTCTACCATAACAAAAGAACAATATAAAACTCATGCAACTGACAGGGAGTGAAAGTTTATAAGGTTGAAGTACTAAAGACAGAGAAAAAGCAAACTGGAATAATCAAAAACTATACCAAATTATTTTTCTGACATTAATTGATTTGATCATAATTTTGATTAATCAATTATTTTAGGTGACACTAATCCATGCGATCACAGATCAAAGGTAACTAATCTACTTTCCCAGCTCTAAGATTCCTCTGTGTGCCTCTTCTCATGTCTCGTGAGGTTACTTTTAATTCCAAATTGTTTACCACATACAACACAATTGTACGGTTTCTCACCAGTGTGCATATACTCATGAACCTTTAGACTATTTTTACTTAAAAATCCTTTACTACATATCACACAATTATATTCTTTCTGTCCAGTGTGTATCTTTTCATGTAATTTAAGTTTACTTTTTGTTCGGAGCTGTTTACTGCACACAATACAACTGTATGGCTTCTCCCCAGTATGTATCTGCTCATGTGTCTTCAAGTTACTTTTACATACAAACCGTTTACCACATACTAAGCAACTGAATGGTTTTTCCCCAGTGTGTATCTTCTCATGAATTGTTTGACCATTTTTACTTACAAATTCTTTACCACATAGTGTACAACTGTAAGGTTTCTCACCAGTATGTACCTGCTCATGACGCTTTACATTACTTTTACTTATAAACTGTTTACCACATACTACACAACTGTACGGCTTCTTGCCAGCATGTATCTTCTCATGAGTATTTAAGTTACTTTTACTTACAAATTGTTTACCACAAACTACACAACTATACGGCTTTTCACCAGTGTGTATCTTCTGATGAATTTTTACACCACTGTAACTAAAAAATCTTTTTCCACACACTAAACAACTATATGGTTTCTCCCCAGTGTGCATCTTCTTATGTATTTCAAGCGTACTTTTAGTTCGAAGTTGTTTTCCACACACAACACAACTGTATGGTTTCTCCCTAGTATGCATCTTCTCATGTCTGTTTAAGTTACTTTTACTTACAAACTGTATACCACAAACAGCGCAACTGTGTGGTTTTTCCCCAGTATGTATCTTCTCGTGAATTTTGAGACCATTCTTACTTAAAAATCCTTTACCACATACTGCACAACTACAGTGTTTTTCCCCAGTATGCATCTTCTCATGTATTTCAAGTTTACTTTTTGTTCGAAGCTGTTTACCACATACAACACAACTGTATGGTTTCTCCCCAGTGTGTATCTGCTCATGACTCTTTAGGTTACTTTTGATTACAAACTGTTTACCACATACAACACAAGTGTATGGCTTCACCCCAGTATGTATCTTTTCATGAGTATTTAAGTTACTTTTACTTACAAATCGTTTACCACAAACAACACAACTGTATGGCTTCTCACCAGTGTGTATATTCTCATGAATTTTTAGGCCATTGTAACTTAAAAATCCTTTGCCACATACTAAACAACTATATGGTTTCTCCCCAGTGTGCATC